TCATTCTCTTATAATTACAAAAGCTACTTATTGTTGGAATATTGCGGTGTTAATGAAACCGGATTATCGCATACCATATATGTAGTTTAGATACTAGTTTTAAACATACTGTATATGCAACTTACCGTATTTGCAAGTAGTTTACTGTATATACAGTTTACTGTATTTACGACCTGCCGTATTTGTAGACAACTTATCATATTTGGACCTTACCGTATTTGTAGCTCACCGTATATGCAGAACACTCACCGTATTTGCACAAAATTTGCAAAACTGTTTTTTACTCATTTTATATATATTGAGTGATTTTACACATATTTGCTAAATATCATATATGCAACTAACATACCGAATATGCACTTACATACACCAAAATTTGGAAATATAGTATTTGCATATATTAGTTAAATAAATATTGGGTGGCTAACTACCAAATTGAATGTTATCAAATTAATCAATTTTCTTAAAATTTTTTTGATATACAGATAATAAACTATAAAATTATATGAAGCACATATAATAAAATAAACTGAAAAATAACTAAGCATCAGATTAAACTACAAATAAATTGCAAATATGTAATTCGCTGAAAAATAATAATCATTAATAAAAAAATTGATTTTTTTAAGAAAAAAACGAGTTATGCGCATTTTTAATATATACGTTTGATATATGTTTAACTATTTTCGATATTTATTTAGATCATTCGATATGTCTATATATATAATTCTCAAAATAAGCTTCGAGAGAATATATAAGATTTATGCATTCGACTACCGTACAATAGTAAATAAATTTTTAAAGTTAGCTTGTTAACGAAATTCTTAATTTTTTAAATGACGTCTCTTTTGACATTAAAAAAAATTTGAAAGCTTATTAAGAAATAGATTCGTATAAAAAAAACATATCAAAAGAAAAAAAATTATTGCGGTACGTCTGTGCTCACATGGAGCAAATTTGCTCCTGGCACCTAAGAGCTCCTGGGTGCCAGGAGCAAATTGTTCCGTGCAATGGAGCAGTTTTGTTCTGTGTCACGAAGCATGTGCAACAATCAATATATATATATATATTTATATGAATGATGCTACGTGTTAATTTTTTTTATTAATTTTTTTTATTGGGTAATTGATTTTTTTGTATCAATTTCTTTCACTGGATGATTTATTTCATTTTTTTTTATAAAAATCTACATAAATTTTCTATGTCTTTTTGAAACTCATTTCGAAAACTATATTATAGACACATCGAATGATTTAAATGAATATCGAAAATAGTTAAACGTATATCAAACGTATGTGTTAAAAAATACGTATAACTCGTCTTTTTTCTTTAAAAAATCAATTATTTTATTAATGTTTATTGTTTTGTCGCGATAATTTTCTAAATATAATTTACATCACGTTCTTTCAAAAAATTTATGTGTATGACGTCAAGTATTTTTCTTTTTGGATGTAAAAATTCCTAATAAAATTATTATCACTTTATAATTTATATGGGTTATAAATTATTATACTATTTTTCCTATTTTTCTCTATTTCTTTACGCAACATCTATAAAAATATATATATACTTCTTTTATTCATTCCTTTACACAATAAGTAAACAAATTTATAGATTTACTGAAAAATAAATAAATATTTTGACACAATAATATTACCCAAAAATAACATAGCCCGTGGGTGGAAAACTAGTAATTCATAAAAGTCCAATCTTCCATTACCAAATATCTTGATAGGGTCCCACTCAAGTGCCACTCATGTTTGAGGACCTGGCTACCATTTTCGGTAAAAATTACAAGAATTACGAAAAGTGAGGCCAGGAGGAAATTTGCTGGTAAGCTTGGGAATGGAGGCCAAGGGAGAAATTAACCAGAGAGAAACGAGGATTAAAAGAAAGGAGGTGAAATAAAATCCCTAATTAATTACTTCTTATTACGATTTTTTTCTTCTTCTTTGAAATTGAATATGGTAATCAACAATAATTTAAATTGAATATTGTATTCAACAATAATTTCTCTCCACTATATTTTTTCATTCTCCATTTTGAAGGTAGATGCTGGAAAAGAGGAAATCAATTGATGAAATAATGAAAACTGCTGTCTCAGAAAAAGACTGTCTCTCTCAGTTCCCGCAATTTCGCCATTATCAAAGGAATGGTTCGTATGATTTTATTGTTTTTACAAATATGAGTGTTTAGTCGTTCAATTTAAAGGTTAATTAATTTTGGATATTTTGTTATATATGTTCCATTCAGTTTCAGAATTTGGGGAGATTTAGATATGTTACGCAGATTTCTCTTGTTTTCTTTAGTGCAAGCATTACAGCAAATGGTACATTGGTGTTAATGGCCGTTTGAAAAGTAGGGTCTTGTGTTCTTGGCTTTTGTATAGTTTAAATCACAAATTGAGTTAATTTAACATTGTCTGTTATCAAGCTCAATTCATCGTCTTCTCCAGCTGTGCTTTATCTTTAAACTCAAACCACGAAGGCTCAAATCCCTATTAATAATCTAATTCCATCCGAATTTAAGTAGGCTGCTTCCCCTAGCTTTATGTTTAATACTAGTAGTTTACTTCAATATGGTTAATTCACTTTTAACCAGTGACGTCCTTCAATGAATATGCCCAACCATGTCAATCAGATGTGGAATTTAACATCAATGGATGTTACATTAACCTACTTATGAAAATTCTGATGACTTATTCTATCTCTTGTTACTGCAATTTCAATTTAACAATGTGAGAGTATCATTTTTTGAAAATGAACCCTATTTTTTGTTTCCTGGATTTCAGGAACATTCTGGTTTAAGCAGTGCATTTTTCATGTAAACTCCTGATTTTCAGTTGTGGAAAATATTATAGTACTCTTCCAGAGTTAATATTTTGATTCTTGTTATTCTTATGTATATTCATTGGGCATTTGTTATTAGATTTTTGTCTTAGTCTTAATTGATGCTCAAATTTAATTGCAATGGGACTCCTATTGTTTCACTGGCAAAATAGGGGGAGAGAAAGAAAGAAAGAAAGAAAGAAAGAAAGAAAGAAAGAAAGAACTTTTTTCTTTTTAACCTTGTTATTACCAGGCTTGTTCGTACACTTGGAGTCTGGACGTGGAGATAAGCTATCCTCCGATACAAAAAAATGCATTCAAAACCTTCTTAAGGTGGTAGTAGTTAACTTTTAACTGTTTCTTGTATCTTTTCTTTTAAATAAAAATGATAGCAACGCAGTATTTTGCCTTCTCTTTCCGTATATAATTTAATTTTAATTTTTCAAGTTAAATATGGAGGCTCCTTATGGACCCGAGTGGCCAGCAGAGGAAAAGGTGAAACGGAGGGAAATGGTAGCTTCAGAAGCTCGCTATATATTTGTGCATGAAATTCCAAATGAAGATGCTATCAAAGAGTCTGAGTCGGTGGACAAGGAAAGGAAATTTACTTGTTACCCAATTGTTGGTTTTGTACATTACAGATTCATCCTAGAGGAAGAAGTACCTGTACTTTATGTTTATGAGTTACAACTTGAACCTCACGTTCAAGGGAAGGGATTAGGAAAATTCTTAATGCAATTAATCGAGTTTATTGCTCGCAAGGTACAGATTTTCTTTCACTGTTGTTTTCAGCAATTGGACTTTTTACCTATGAATTCTGAAATACATAGAAGAGAAAGTGAATCATTTGAGAAGAATTTTTGCACAGATATTATAGTGACTAAATATTCCAAATTCCAGGGATGCGTTTCTTGTGCTCACTGATGTAGTGATGTGGCATATTGTTTCTCATTTTGGTCTTAGATGTGCCTGTTCTGACATTAATTTTGCAGTGAAGGATTAACTTTTACATGTTTTAAAGCTAACTAATTTCTTTTTTACTATTTTTGCAGAATAAAATGGGAGCCGTGGTGCTAACTGTTCAAAAAGCAAATTTGGTAGCTATGGACTTTTACTTGCATAAACTAAAGTGAGTTGCTCTTATCTTTTTTATAAACAGCTAGTTGATTTAGCATTAATCATGTTAAACTGTAATCAGTCAATTGGTTTTTGTTTTATTTTCTTAAAAGTAATCTTCGTTGGCTGATTACTTTTGGATTGTGTAGTATCAATAGTTGAAATTTTGGCGGAATTTACTATTGAATGCTAATTATTCACTACAATCAGGAGAATAGTCATATCTCTACCTATTAAAAAAAAAAAAAAAAAATAGTCATATCTCTAAAAGGAAAGGAAATAACAAGAATTTCTAAAATATATTATTTCATAACTAAACTGGAATATTTTTTCCCAACTACAGAAAAAAATGTTTCCAATATAGTAAAAAAAAATATGGAAAAAAAAAATGAAAGTTACAATAAATATATCCTATTTCTATTCAATGGCGTCTAGACTTTTAACTTTGCGTCAGTTGTGTTATTTACAACTTACATGAGTTATTGTTTTGCCGTTTCATTCTATTCAGAAATCTCCTGTGAGGTTCAAAGAAACCAATTCTTCTGCAAGTGTATGTCAAATTTGGTCTACCTCTCCTTCTCCTAACGTATTCTACTAGAATTGCATAGCTCTCATGAAAGGGAGCTTCTTTTACTCAATACGGGCTCCAATTGTCTAAGATGTCTTTACCTTATCAATTGGTGCCATTCCACTTGGTGGCATGTAGGTTTACTTCTTATTTTATCTATTGTACTAGGGCCTTAGGTCTATTTTAACATCCTTATTTCTACCATGCTCGTTATTGGACAATTTTTTTCTTTTAATATCCAAATACTCATCACAGTAAAAACATAGATAGTTTGATCTTCTGAGGAAAAAAATTCATTGCATTGTATCCTTGAAAATATGTAATTCATTTCTCCTTAAAGATAGCCAGAAATCAGATCTTGTTTCTCCCACGATGTTTTATTATCAAAAAGTCAAAGCATTACGCAGGGCCGGCCCTGAAATTTTAGGTGTCCGGTGTGACATTTTAAAATGATGCTCCTTTCATGTAATAAAAAATATATTAAGAAAAATAATTCAATAACATCTTTTCATACCAAAAACATGACATTTAAATTTTGTTTATTTTTACATATCGTGAATAAAAAAATATAAATAAAGTTCAAAAGCATTCTCCGAACTTCATCAAAATTCATATGTTATCAACAAAGAACGATCCAAATTATTAACCTCTTGGTACAATTTCACATGAGCAAACTTTGAAATCAAAAATAGCAATTACCACATATAAATCTTGAAATGCAACAGATCATGTAAAAATATTTGTTCTTGCATTTTTAGAAACAAACTCACTAGTTAAACCTTCGTAATCAATATGTTTTAGCAAATTTTTTCAATAAATAAATATCAAAACTAGCACATTCAATCATTATTGTAACATGGTTGATTGCAAATAAGATTTTTATAGCTTTAGTTTTGAAGAATATTTTTTGACAAATGCAACAATAACAATAATTGTCAATAGTATTCTATAAACAATAAATATATTCGAAAAGCAATACAATCTTGTCAAATAAGTGAATTTATCAAAAGTTATTTTGTTTCTTTTGGTAAAAAAATTCACAAAAATTGAATGTAATCAACTATCAGTTATCATCCAACAAAAACTTACCCCTCTAAAACCAAAAAAAATCATGAAATAGCAATTCACAAGTGGACTTGTTCTTGTAACATGGTTGATCACAAATAAGATTTTAATAACTTTAGTTTTGAAGAACATTTTTTGACAAATGCAACAATAACAATAATTGTCAATAGTATTCTATAAGTGATAAATATATTCGAAAAGCAATCCAATCTTGTCAAATAAGTCAATATATCAAAAGCTATTTCTATTTCTTCTCGTAAAAAAATTGACAAAACTTGAATGCAATCAGTTATTAGTTATCAACCAACAAAAACTTACCCTTCTAGAACAAAAAAAAAAAAAAATCATGAAATAGCAATTCACAAGTGGACTTGTTCTTGGATCGCAAATAAGATTTTAATAACTTTAGTTCTGAAGAACATTTTTCAACAAATGCAACAATAACAATAACTGTCAATAGTATTCTATAAGCGATAAATATATTCGAAAAGAAATCTAATCTTCTCAAATAAGTCAATATATCAAAAGCTATTTTTGTTTCTTCTGGTAAAAAAATTCGAAAAATCGAATGTAATCAACTATTAGTTATCAACCAACAAAAACTTACCCTTCTAGAACCCAAAAAAATCATAATATAGCAATTCACAAGTGGACAACCGGCTCCAATAAATAGATTGTACTATTACAGAGCAAGTAATAAATATTGACAATAAAATTTATTCTCTTATTTATTTGACTATTATTTGTGAGTTGAAGAATGAGAATGAGAGAATTGATAAAAATGAATCTAGTATTAGCTTTTTACTCTCCATTTTAATCATTTGAATTTTGGGCTACTTAATTTTCTTTTTAGGTTGGTAATTGATTAATGAAGCTAATTGGACATTTGATATTAGGACTAGTAAAATAGATAGTTTATAATATTTTTTGAAAGCAAGAAAGTTTAGAATTATAAAAATATTTTTTTCGGTATATGTTAAATTAAACATTTATTTTCAATAATATGTTAAATTAAACAAATATTAACATAATATAAATTTTTTTACTCTTTTTTCGTAAATATTGTGCCCTTTAACTTTATATAATAATAAAAATTTTAAATCTTAAAATTAATAAAAAATATGTAGGATTATAAATATATACTTCTACATATTTATAGACTTACATAAAAATTTTTTTGGTGCCCTTGTAATGTTGAGGCCCTGTGCGATCGCTCAACTCGCACGCTCTGAGGGCCACCTCTGGCATTATGGTTTCATGATTTCTATTATACCCCTAGTTAAAATTATTGAATACAATATATACTATTGCAACTAAGGTGCCATTATATTTATTTCACTGTCTTAATGCCGGTGCAAAGTCAAACCTGGCAGTCTTCTTAAAGTAGGGAACAATACATATCAATAAAAGGTATCCTCAAAATTCATGATACTCATTTTCCAAAAGTAATTTATATTTATTGCATTAATTAGGTCAGAGAAGGGGAAAGAGATGCAAAACTTGAATTCTGATACACTTCAGTTATTTTGAAGCATAAAGAAGCCTACACACTTGACAGGTCTAGCCATGTACTCTGACCGAGCCCCTTGGGCCACAATGGACGTGCAACCTTTTTTCATGGAAAAGTCTTATACTTCCAATGCGACAAAACAGCATCACAAATTTTGTTGGAGTTTCCATTGTAATGCAAACATCTTGAAGAACCGTATAATTTTTTGAATAGAATGTCAGTAATGAAGGATGATATGTAAACTAGTAAGTCAATTAGTTTCACATGGTGGGTTTATAAAGAATTTTATGACTCTATGGAAAGAATGATACAAATTATTTTCCATCAAAATTTTCAAACTTCCTCTACACCCTAAACTGAATCCAAATTATAGATACAAATGAGCAAGGCGTATGACCGTCCTTGTCTGGCTTTGGTGGACCATATATAACATTTCCATAAATGAAATGGCTGCTACTAACTGCAGTTGCTTCAGCATTTTATCATATTCATATACTTGGGTTTTGTATGGTTTTTTGTTGCAATAAATACCTATGGTTGCTCAGCTATTTTAGCATGAACATTGATATTTTACAGGTACACTGTATCTGCAATTTCACCATCAAGAGTTGATCCGTTGGTAAGCACCAATTTTTCTGTTTCTTCCCTAACCCTATTTTCTGCTACATCCCCTGATTTTCTCTTTAATTTTCTCTTTATTTATATTTGTGTTCCAAGATAGTTTTGTCTGATCATTTATTTTCTTTTCTGCAGTTAGGACTAGAGAAGAGCTATGAGATTCTTTGTAAAGCATTTTACCATGAAGCTCAAGTAGTGTTGGAGGTATGGAAAGTACATGCATAATATTCATGGAGATTGCATAATTGCAACCATCTTTAATCTACACAATGATTTTAGCAACTCTACACGTTCAATTATGAAGTCAGTGCAATTTGAAGATAACTATATTTTATTTAAACATTATATTATAAAAGTAGGAAACTTGAAACTAAGAGAAACTAGTCATGCACTGTCAAACACATTATATTTTTTGGAAGTACTTTTTCTCATTTTTCTGAGCAGAGCTGCGGGCATTTTACACATCATATTATTAGAGTAGGAAACCTGAAACTAAGAGAAACTAGTCATGCAATGTTAGACACATTATATTTCTTGGAACTACTTTTTCTTGTCTTTCTGAGCAGAGCTGTGGGAGTTTTACATTCTCCAAGACCAATTAGATGTGGAGTAGTTAATTTTAAATACATGTTTCTTGGTTTAATATATTGCTGGCAATCTTTACTAGAAATTATCGTTGTATTTGTTAATATTGTATGAGCAAAACATGGTAAATTATGGTAACAAATAAAGAGGACTAATAGTGCAGTCTCATTTCTGTGTCTAGATTCTTTGGGGGAAAGATATCATTTCAACCATTGTGTTTCAGTTATCTGACATGTCAATGGATGAATATTGCTTGAAATGCAAAGTACATGTTAAATTTTACTGAGCCACAGTTCAGGAGAAATAACAAAATGAACATTAATCTGAATTCTTGATAATCCATAAGAAAAATTGTGAACGCAGTCATTACTAAACTGACAAAGGAGGGCACCTTAAGGAAGAAAGCTGAAGTGAAGGAAGATAATTATGCTCTTGAAATTGGCTCCTTCAATCCTATGCAAGTGGGTTTCATATACATATAGGCTTGCACCATTTTCACCTACCACTCATCTAGTCTGAAAATCGGTCTCATTTGTGCAACTTTTATTATATGTTATATTAACTGTCAATATAATTTACTTTTTGATTTTATCCATCATTACAACAAAGCCTATGATAACTGTCATGTGGATGTCTGCAATAGATCTTTTATTTGCTAGATAATAATTGTGGATCTGCTAGTCTATGATTTTTGAGATGACATGAGTTACTAAATGCAATATCGGGATTATACTCATTACATATTTGAGCATATGAACATGGAGTACTGTGACTATAGATATGATATACTGGCTTGAGCTTTGATCACGTCAACTAAAGAGAAATGAAGGAAAAAAATATTCAACTTAAGGTAGATTGATGTCATTTCTTTTCTCCACAGCTATAATTAATAAAACCCACCACTTAGTATTCCAATATAAACTATCAGATATAATGAACCTGGGACCTCGGGTTGTACTCTTGTAATTTATAAGGCCAGAAGAGGGTTGATCTTCTAAAATACGTGGTTTGTTTTCAGTTAAATTGAACATTTTGCAAATTTTGTGCTTTCAATTTGTCTCACTGGAATTCCCCAGGATGCAAATTGCATGTAATTGTAAACTTTTTCACGTTTTTGGCTCATTGTCAGACTGAGACTCAGTAATTCTCTTGCACTTTCTTACTTTGGTTTTCTATCATGTGCACAAAATCTGGGAACTAGCTGGCGCTATGTAGGAGAGAAAAAATGTACCTAAGCAACCATATTCAACATTCATTTTCTTTTATTTTTCCCCATGATAAAACCATAATAGTCTGTGAATGTTATTTCACCGTTGAAAGAAACTTTACTGTGATACATAAGGCATGAACAAGGTCTGCACCTTGGCTTTTGTTATGTTTTTTTGTTCTTTCTTTCCCTTTTTTTCTTTTTCTTTTTATTTATTTATTTATTTTTTTGGGTCGGGTGATGGTGAGTACGGAGATGGATTCCCTTCGTTGCAGCCCCTTTTAGGTAGTTGACTGGGAAAGGGAAATATAGAGAGGAAGGACAAGGAAGTCATCTGTATCAAAATTAGTGGAAGTTCGGAAGGAAAAACATCCTGCTGGTGTCATGGGCACTTGGGTTCCATTCATTTCTTTGCATATGGATCCCAAACATCACTTTTCATATCAAAGATGTTCTTTTGGACGTAAACACGTACTTTTAGAAGCTCAACCTGACTCAACCAGTCTACAACTTCGAAAGCTGGGGAGCAGAGATCTTTCTTTAATGTACTTCTTTAGTTTCCGTCCCCATTTTTTTCTTTTGTCATTTTTTGTATCAAGAGGTACTTTTCATATTATTTTCTTGTTCTTTTGGACGGTTCCACTAGGAAAGACCTCTGTGCGACCCAAAATTGAAGTTTGGGACTAATATGCCCAAAGAATGAACGAGTACCGTGACTAATTTTCTACTTTATTTATTACATGGTAAGATTTTTTTTGTTTCAACTTTCTGGGGGCATCACTGAAAACATAAATGGTAATAGAATAGGAAGTATTCAATTATGCATTATGTCAAATGGTTTGACAAGAAGCTGCCTGGCTCTTTCAAGTTTAATCCATCAACCTCTGCTGTGAAAATTGCTTGAACTGGTCTGTGATCAGACAGTCTTGATTCCCCTCTATCATACTGAATTTGTTTCAGTCCCTTGCCATACCAAATTATTCGATCACACCTACATAACTTTCTTCTTCGTCAAGTTATTGATACAATTATCTATACAAATGGAGGAATGATATTCGGCATAGACTTACCATGCAGGAGCTCGCCTCTTTTTCTCATTAATTTTCTGGTTGCATCCATAATAATCATCTGAATTTTGATAGTATTTGTATGTGGGTGCAAACTCAATTTCTTCCTCTTGCCAACCCTCGAAGACATGACCTTTTGCTTGCTCAGCCTTCAGCTTTAATTTCAAATAAAAAATAATTGAGATTATCATATGGTTATAACCTGTTTTGATGTGATTCTTTTCTTTTAAATCTGAAACCGCCCTTTTCTACTGCCTTTTTTTTTTTTTTTTTTTTTTTTTTTTTAAGAGTACCTGATCATTTTGTAATAAGATGCTCCAGTTCTCATTCTGTACTAAGGATCTTGTGGCAGCCTCTGGCAGGTTTATCCTGTAGTTCAAGTCCCCAAGCCAAACCACCCGACTGTAAGAAAATCAGAACCCACTGGCTATTGTTAGGACAATATGTTTCAAGATTCCAACACCATAATAACAATTTCCCATTCATAAAGTATGATTTGTCAAAGAAAAACAAGTTGGAAGTTCTGGAGGAAAAAAATAAATAAATCACTGAATCGCTACTCAAACTTACCTAAACCGAAGAGGTTAGATAAAAAAAGTATCATGCTGGAAATGAAGTTCATTTTTGATCTCGAAAGAAAAATGGAACAGATTTAGTTCACATACTCATGGTCTAGGATGTTTCTCGGCAACTTTCGGAGGGGACTGCTAGGGAATTGTGTTTGTGACAGTATTCGTGCTGCATCTGCATTTCTCTGTTTCTCATCGCCTTCTTTCCCACCTGAAGCTAAATGACTACACACAAAGCAGAAACTTGTCTGCCCCAAGCAAAATCTGACAGAAACTGCACCCTGTTCATCAACTATGCATCATGTCAGTTTCCCTTTTGTATCTTCTAGTTAACTGTGGTAAATATATTTAGATATAAAACTTCCATAGTTAATGAATATCCACTTTGATATTTTCGATCATTATGTGGTTCTAGTATCCCTTTTCCTGAAGAATGATATATTTTTCTCACAAGGATTAATACTGCTGTTACCTTGTTTCCCAGGCATCCTAAGAGACCACAACCTACACTGGAAACACTTGGATAACTGATATACCCATGTAGCGCAGTTCGGACCCATATGGTAATATATATTCCGACCATTTGTTTACTTATTAAGCATTGGAAATCTGAAGCAATTGAGTTGGTAGAATTGTGCATTTTTAGAGGATGCACTTTTGGAGTCTCTCCAATATCTGTGTTCTGAAGTCTGCCTTCTATTGCCATTCTCTTGTTGAGAACTTCTTCTATGAGAGTATTCCATTTTGAGGAAATCTTGCTATTCTCGGAACCCAAAATATTTCCTGCATTCAGGGGCACAATTTCTTGGAACCTGCAAACAATTGTATGCCTTTTTCTAAACATAATTTGATTCAACTGTTTCACATTTTTAAATATTTAAGGCATGCTGATAAAATTTGCAATTTTATATGCTCATAAAGTAAAAATTACCCGAAAACATATATATCTGCCATGCTATTTTGTGTGCCCAGAAAATCCTCAAGGCTCGAGTTATCTGGTGGTGTGATGCCTCCAATGTTCCATGAGCTCACAAACAATCTTTAGCGGTAGAAGTATGAAAGAAGAATATAGGACATTAGGTTCAAACATGTTTACTAGAATTCTTTTATATGAAATTTTATGCCAAAAAATAATGAAAATAAAACTCTTAATGTATAAGAAGTTGTAGTATGATAGAGAAGAAGAAATTTATTGGTAAAGCCCGCACTTGAAAGTTTCTTGAACAATGTAAGGCTTTCTGGGACTGAAAGATGCTTGATTTGAGTTTTCACTTTCTACAAATGTTGCGGACAATTCTCCAGAATTCATAGCATATATGTTGTTGTCCACTCTTTCTCCAAGGATCTTGCCAGCTACCATGCTAGGCCACATGGCCTTGAAATCAGCAGAAAAAAGTTCGGGAACTCAAGGAAACGAGTGCGTATTTATGTGTGACAGATTGGAAAATCATCAGGATCACTTTCAATCTACTTCCGCGGCAGGGTTTTAACGTTAATTTGTGTTGCTGTTTATAGGTGGAAGAAAGAAAGATGTTGAAGTTTGGTATTGAAAATGAAAGGATTTGTGAAATAAGACCGAGTAGTATAGGAGGGACCTGACCAAGTTTAAGATCTAAAATAGGGAAATAAAGAAAAAGATTTTATTTGGCTTCTTGTTATCTCTAGGGCCTATAGAGAAAACAATAGAACTTAGTTGAAATTATCTCCATTTTGAAACCAGGAATGCCTTTTGAGTTTTTACATCATGGGAGTAGAGGAAGATGGAAGAATTAGGCTGCAACTGGATTGGCTTATTATATATTAATTTCTCTTTTACTATTATGGTCCCCCCGCCCCCCTCCCCCAACCGACATCCTCACACGTGTACATACAATCTTTTTTTCTTTTTTTTCCCTCATAAAAAACAGAACACAATTCTCAGTAATATGAAATAAAGGTATATACCTTCTTCTCTTCCTTTTTAATTAGGACTGTTTCTACTTGTTTGTTTAAATCTTAATGCTGTCTTAACGTCAACTTGCAATATCAAAGGTGTACTTCCGATGGTAGTTTCTTTTTCCTTTGGAGGTATGAATGATTTTAAATTTTGTACTTTCTGTTTAATGCATCTACCTTTGTTTGTTTTGATCCACAGAGAGAAGAAACCTGCTTGTGAGGTTGACTTGTGTACTGAGAAAATATTGGTTCGAGACACAAAAACGATGACATTTCCACTGTAAAACTTGAAGGTTAATTTGCTAAATGACTTACCGTTAAGAGATATTCATGTAACTGACTCCAAATTTATTAAGAGCAATACTTTGGTGATTTGTTATTGTTATTGTTATTGTAGGGATCCCCCACCCTCACCCCCCCTCTCTCTCCACACCCTCACACCCATGTACGATAATAGACAAATTTTGCCACCCACTTATTTGAGCTACCTGCTTCATTATGATTCTGCTTAAGTTTTAAACAATTCTGAGTACTAGAATCGAGCTGTTCGGTTTGGTCCGATTCTCGAATTCTAGTACCTGAAATGAGTTAATTTTATTTTTCAATGTTGAACTAACTTAAATTTTAGACGGTTTTGGGTACTAGAATCGAGCAATTCAGTTCGATTCACTTAATTGACATGTAGATTAGTATTAAGCAGTAGTTGACTACTTAACATTACTTGAATGATTATAAAAAATATACATGCAAGGCTTTTATAGAAAAAAAATATAAAAGATTTTAATCTACACTTAAAATAACATGTTGAAGACAGTTTATATTAATGAGTTAATTGTTTCAATGGTCACTGAATTTAGATTCATATATTTGATTTGTCACTGAACTTTAAAATGTCGAGTTTTGATCACTAAATTTAGCTCCATATTTTTTATTGGCCACTGAACTTTAAAATGTCGAGTTTTGATCACTAAATTTAGCTCCATATTTTTTATTGGCCACTGAACTTTAAAATGTCGAGTTTTGACCACTGAGTTTTGAAAAATGTCGAGTTTTGATCACTGAACTTTGAAAAATGTTGTATATTACTCATTGAATTTTAAAAAATATTGTATATTACTAACTGAACTTTAAAAAATATTGTACATTATTCACTGTAAATTCGATATTTTTTATAGTTCAATAGTTATATGCTAGTGAGTAACGTACGGCATATTCAAAAGTTCAGTGGTCAAAACTTGACATTTTAAACTTCAGTGAGCAATCGAAGATATGAACCTAAAGTTAGTGATCAAAACTCGACATTTTTCAAAGTTCAGTAGTCAAATCTCAACATTTTAAAGTTCAGTGACCAATCAAAGATATGGACCTAATTTTAGTGACCATTGGAACAATTAACTCTATATTGATACATGTGGTTTTTTTTATCATGTGAACAATATAAAAGGGTTAAAGTGAAAGGATTTAGCCTGTGTTGAGGATCCAATATTCATTGTCTTCGATTAATCAACATTAGAATGTGTAAAGCAAAGCCTCGATATTTCGATTGTAATTTAAATTAACGAAGTAAGTTAGAAAGTCGGTTATTCAATGTAATTTCAATCGATTAATGCTTAGTTGCAATACTAAACGACATGACGTCATTGATCAGGTAAGCTAATTTAGTTTACAATTTATCTATCTATATATATATATAGATCAGAGTATTTGATTGGTCCTCTAACTCAGAGCATTTGATTAGGCGGAAGTAATAATAATTAAGATCAAATTGGTCTTAATTAATTAATTATCACTCGAACTAATTAATCAAAATCAATTGGCTGATTCTATCCAATCAGAATGAAAAGCCCAGTGTTTGGATAGCACTTTTTCACTTTTTTTATATTTAAATATTTGTGAAAGGAAAAAATGTGATGCATGAATATGAAACCCCACCCCATTCCACGCCCAACCAATGGAAAAAGGTCTATTGAAGTTTTGAGGGATAAATACAAATTTGGTTCCTAAAGTTACAATTAAATTTCAAATTGGCCATTATAGTTTATTTTGTTTCATATAAGTTACTAAAGTTTCCTAATATTTCCAATTTGGTCGGTATGTTACTGAGATTAACATCGAGTTCCACATGTAAGCTGTTAACAACATCGACTTTGTTACATATACATCAAAGTTTACATAATTGATTACATAAGATTATATGTCATTTGCAATAAAATACTGTCAACTTTTTCATTCAATCTTTTCTCTCTATATCATTTTATGTAATTTTTTATGTACAAGTAGTATAATCCTAACAACATTGTGTACTAATGGGACATTTATTCCATTCCCATGAATGCTTAACTCGTGCTAAAGAAAGATTAGGGATGATATCGAGTAATGCTGTCATCCTTGCCCCGACAAAATTCAATTATTCTCATTTCCCACCTCGTTTTCTTATCTACTTGTTCATTTATTTTTCAATATTATTTTTAAATTTTAAATTCATGAAAAATATATAAAATTCAGAACGAGAAAATGTTCCCCATCCACATCCCCACTCATTCAAGGTCAAGGCAACGTAGGGCGATGAGGGTCGGGACATTTTTATCATCCCTATAAAAGATCGACGGCGATGAAACTCGTTTTACTTCAATTTATTCATGCAGTTTACTATTTGAATTCGATCAAAACAGACTTCACGGTTTGCCATCCGACTTTTAGCATGATTAAAACATGGTTAATAATGAGATTAACTTGAAATTCTGCTGCAACTTTAGGGACCAGATGTATAATTAATCGAAGTTTTAAAATAATGAAAATAACTTATAATTAGATTAGTAAATATCTTTAGTAGGAATAATATAATATTCTTCATGTTGGCATATTATATTGTAATTTTTGTATGCACGTCAGTATCCTATTAGAATTGAGCCAAAATGGCCACTGTACTGGTAAATTTTCAATTCAACAATTGTTATTGTGACATTGAGATGAATGCATTATTTTTTCTTTAAAAAAATGTTAGATAACGACTCATGTATTATTTTTTCTTTAGATAAATGCTAGTGTGAATAACGAATTATGTAATTAAAAACTATATTTAGGTAAGTCCAAAGACTAGGGATGAGATCTTTATCGCTTATTCCATCGACAGTAGATGACCTTTCTTAGGCGTTGATTTCCTACTAAATAAATTGGACTTCTATCAAGGAGTTTTGTTTTTCAATATATGTGAAAGCTCTTGATTTATGATTGAGGTTTTACCCATTGAAGGGTGTATGTTGTCATTATGAATGAAGATGACTTGCGAGTGACCAAAGGAGAACCTTGAATATAGGATCTATAGACGAAAGTCCAAATCATAAGAAAAATATTTTTTGGCCCTCTTGTTGCAAATTTATTATTAGAATCAATTCAGAGACCGAAGTATTTGTCAAGTTATGACAACACGTAATGTTTTTTTCAAACATGATGAAAAGAATGGCCTAATATATCCTATTGGCCCAAGCCATGCTAGGGAAGGCAATTGGGCTTGTCGGTTCGGGCCGCCCATAGCTCGACATAGAAAAAGTCCGAGCTGGCCCGACAGAACCGAATCGAGGCTCGGGTTGAGCCCCATTGGTGCTGGGCCGAACCCAAGTTGGCCTGTGTGACTCACCGGCTCAAGCTCACGGGCCTTTAAAAAAAAAAAAAAAAGTTTAAATGCAGCGTGCTATTGCCTTAAAAAAGGCAGCACTCAATTGCCTTTTTTTAGGAAGTACCATTATTAAATAAATAAATAAATAATCGAGTCGGGTGTCCAAGCTGAAAGCATGGGTCAAGCCTTGATTTCTTGGCCGAGCAAAAGCTCCGCTCATCTCGAGCTAGCAAAAAAATTCGGACCATTTTACTCGAGCTGAGTTCAAATCTCAAGTTTCAGCTCGCCTTGTTGACACAACTTAATCATGCTAAGTAACTCACTTGAATCAATAATTTTTAAGAAATAGAAGTAACAAGTCTTACAATAGGATTAAAAGATCGACCTTTAGCTTGATGGCCAAAACTAGCTACAAATCAGCATTTTCGTTCAAAAGAAGGAAAGTAGATTACCATCCAAAATGTCGAAACATCATTGACACGGTACATTAGACACCAAAGTCTATTGTACTACAGGGGCTGAGAGGGTTTTTTGGAGAAAAGGTTGTATATGTACACGTGATAAGATTTTCTATTGAATTACGATATATGGGACCTCAAACCTGTGGCAGAAGGGGGTTGGTGCTTCGTGGGGTCAAGTGACCCACTAACATTTTGATTTTGAATTTTATTTTATTTTATTTTATTATTTTTTTTTTTGGGGCTTCGAAAATTGTTTATTTCTTGAGAAGAAATATGTTGAGGTCTACGGTCTAAATTTTGTTATCAAATATGTTATTCACTCAATTAATTATTGACACATCATTTTAAATTAACATGTGCATCTTTTTTAACTGCTTCTTTTGCTAAAAAATAAGTAACATTTTAATGTAAAATAATGTATCAACAATTAATTGGTAAACAGTAAAATGGACAGCATATCTCAACTCAAGAAATGAAGATTAAAAATTGTTTATGAGTAATTTCATTTCTCAAGTACTCCATTTTTTGACTAAGCTTAAAAATTACTCAATAACTTGTTTAAAATGTGAGATGAGACCTATTTTATAAGAGATCCACTTGTTAAGTAACTTTTGTACTTTAACCAAATATAAACTTGTCAACTATCATATCGAATCCCGTCTAACTTAACAAATGCATTTTTAAAATACTATCAGGATATGCCTACATTTATCCAATATTATCCAATTCAACACCACTATATTTCAAAATGTTGGCTTCACCGAAAATTCTAGATAATTTGGGTGTATATTCTCTTTGATTTTTTTTTT